GACACTGTTTAGGGAGAGGAAAACAATATTTCGTTTAAATCTTCTGTATATTTTGTCTTCTTTTCGTGACCAATCATCTGGCCAAAATTCAATTCAATGCTCCAATTAATTTTTGAGATAGCATGTCGTCTTGGACTATCGTTCCTGTGCAAAAGTGAGGCAAATGTTCTGTTTGGACTGCCACTGCAGGCCATCGCCAAGTTTTGCTACGGGTCGCGACACAAGACACTGCTTAGGGAGAGAAAAATATATTTCTTTTAAATCTTCTGTATATTTTGTCTTCTTTTCGTGACCAATCATCTGGCCAAAATTCAATTCAATGCTCCAATTAATTTTTTAGATAGCATGTCCTTCTTGAATATAGTTCCTGTGCAAAAGTGAAGAAAATGTTCTTTTTGGACTGCCACTGCAGGCCATCGCCAAGTTTTGCTACGAGTCGCGACAAAAGACACTGAGAGAAAAACAATATTTTATTCCGGGCCCTTAAGCGGGCCCTGAACTCAACGTGCCAAAACTTTGTGGACCCACCTATTGGGGGACCACATTTTTCTGCAAACAAAATGAGTTTCAGATCGGCCATTGCGGAGGCCGAAGAGCTCTCACTTTCACACCGACTGAAGGTGCCCCCGTTCTGAGTAGTTGCCCCTTTTTGGTGTCCCCCCCCCTCCCCCCGTTTGAAAAGCATTGCGCCGTCCCTGCCTTCTGGTGCCGTACATCAGATTCGAACTAGACAAACTTGTTTGTTTCTGCATTCATTAGGGGACGTTGAACATTATTGGGTTCAACAAATACAAAACAAATGGGATGTCTTCCTAAAAAGTTAAAGTAATAACAGAAGAGTGACAATTTCGACGATTGCACATAAAAACACACTTTGGGCGGGACGTCACCACGTTTAATGGGGAAGTTTCTTTTTTAACTTTTATGCAAATTTTAGGAATGAGATAATTCGTCACCGACACCACGAAGTAACACTCTACTGTGTTAAAGCATATTTTTTTCGATTTTTAGTTTTTTGGATTTTTAAACATTATTCATCAAGGCCTACCATTGCACGAAGTTTCAAAGCTTCAAGAGCTTCACTTTAATAATTACGCTAAGTATCCATGGCAACTTTTGCGCAAAAGTGACAGTGTATGAGCGCGCGCGCGCTGACCTGAAGTTGCACTTTCCTCGTGTTAAATACATTGAAGAGTGTTACTTCGTGAAAACGAAAATTTACAGTTTCGCAGCTTTTTCGGTTTCACGAACTAACACTCATCCTTTTTCTCTTATTTCTTGTTTATTTAATACACAAACGAGTGAAAAACAGCAGATTTAATAAATTCAATTCATCAAGTTTCCACAACGAGAAACCCAACTGAAAATACTCGGTCGTTTTGACGCAAAGTGTTGTTTTAAAAGGCGTTCAACTTTAGTTGCCGTTTTCTCCGATTGCTAGTTTTTACTGGTATGTAGATGGGTGTTACTTCGTGGTGTCGGTGACGAATTATGTCGACTTCCTTCTGTCCCCCCAGTTTTCTGTCCCTACAAGTACATCCTAGCAACAAGTGTTTGTCCCCATCACTACGGAACAAGACAGGTGCATTTGAACGCACCCGGGAGCAAAGGGAGAAAGTAGGGGCAATGGTACCCAACAAGTCAGTAGAAATTCGACCTGACGAGGAAAACGCTACATGTAGGCGATGACAATACCCCTCGAGCCTCTCGGCTGAGGGGTAAAAATACAACATTTGCAAACATCAAAAAATAAAACTACCAAATCATTTTGAAATACCTTGCTGGACTGTTAGTGAATGACAGTGTAAAGCATCCTGTAAAATCATGGCACCTGGTATACTGTCATTTTCAAGAAAAGTTGTATTTTTGTATCAATTTCCAACGCTGATCGGCCGACCAGCGTTGGAAAAAACTGGCTTTTTTCAAATACTGGCCCCAATTGACCATCGCACTTGTTTGCAATCGATTACACACCTATGAATGGGTACAAGCCAGCTAGACTGGTTACCTGACTTTACAATTCCCCAATGTATGTAAACTGCTCTGTTTCTTCTTAAATGGAGTCAGGGAACCAGACTACAGGAAAATGATTGTTTTTCTTGGTTTTTGTAGCATTTTTTAACCCAAAACCTCAAAAAAGTCAGTGTAACTATATTTGCTATATATTTCCAACCCCCCAATTCCATCCATTTCTGAAAATTACAGTAAAAGCAAATGATGTATATTCCCTTTATATATTTCTATCGGAACCGAAGAGAACAGAAAGGAAGAAGGGACGTATTAAAGTGGCAGGTGTATTACATTCGTGTGAGTACACAGCGTTTAAAAATACAATATTATTAAAAATCAAAATGTCATTTACAAGAAAAATGTATGGGCCAGCACACAAAAGAGGGATTATTGGATTTGAGGAGAGATCCACAGGTGAACATCATAATGGAGAAGAAATGACCGGCAACGGACAATTTGTTTGGGCGAGGATAAACGAAATGGGTTTGGGGTTGAGATAGATATCAGGCTGGGGACAAAGAGAGTGGCAAGAAGTGGGATCATAAGAAACTAAAAATTTGGGTTTTTTTCCTCCTGTGCCCCCTCCTTCCCAACCCCCTCCCCTCCATTCTCACCCAAGCATAATGCCCTATGTATCTCCCCCTCCTTACACTTTATCTCTCTCATATGTTTCTCCATCCATCCCTACATGCCCGTGTGTCCCCCATGGCAGGTGTTTCTTTATATACATACCAGTACCACTGTCATTTGTCAGCAAAATTGCAAATTGACCTCGTTTGAATCAGAGTGCACTTAATCACACCCTGATTTACATATTTAGGCCACGCCCACAAAAGGGTAAAATAAGAAGTGTTATAACGTTAAAAGTTTTACCTTGTGCCCAAATGTATTTTAAAGCATAACTGAACGGGGAAAAGGTGCAAAAAACCTGTTCTTGTAAGTTTTAAAGTGTTTACTATCCGTACCCTTTTCTATAAGCTCCGACTCCAGCACGTGTAATGTAAAGTACATGTACTGCTAACCTGGTCAATAGCCTATTTGTTTCAGGAAAAAGACATTTGATGAGAAAATTGCGGGTTTTTTTTAGAAATGGGTACAAAATAGCCAAAATGCATCGGCAAACATGCCAGGAAAACTTGACAGGAATAATAAAGTGCGTTGCGATGATATAAACGAAAATATGCTTGGAGGGGGTGGCGGCCCCGCCCCCTCCATGCTATTGGCATCGCTCTTAAGTTAATTAGTGTGATCTTAAATTACTCGTAAGCTACATTTTTATTTTCGTCGAGCATTAAAGCACTTATAAAAACCGGTTTTACAATTTTCTATATCGTGGCGTTGCAACTGTATCAGCGAAAAGGAATGGGAGGGGTTATGGCCACGCCCCCTCCTATACAGGTTTTTCATGTCTGGCGGGCACCTTCCATCACTGAAAATGTCTGGCAGTGGCCATTCATGATACCTGGGACTAGGCCCGACATTTTCCAGTAGGTTTTATCATAGAGCTAGGACCATGGTTTTATTGGGTTAACTCACCAGCTGATCTAGCTCAATTTTGTGGCCCCTTTCTCATGGCCCTCCTGCTGCGCGTGAAAATTTGTTAACTTTCCAGCTAGGCTGACCCCCCCCCCCCTGGCTCCCGGTCTATACAGGGACATTTTGTGGTTTTTTTACCTAGTTGAAAGAGCTAGGTCATCCAACTATCTATTTTTAATACAATGTAAAAGTTCACAGGGAAAACAAAAAAATGCAAAGGATACTATTCAAATAAAAGTATGATAAGCAATATTTGTTCATTGCTGTCTAGAAATTTTGAGTAACATATTCGTCAAGTTGGTTCAATGGGATTCGAACCCATGGTTTCCTGCATTTTAGTGCAGACGTCTAACTACACGGCCATCAAACTTACAGTTACCTACAGATATGTTTATCTATGATTTAATTTAATGCAAACATTAAAAAAAATACTTTCGTCGGATCAGAGTATTTCTCAAAATGTTGCCTTTTTTGGTCCCCCCAAAATAAAACCAATTAGACTTTTGATCGGAAAATACTGGAACGAAAGTGTGGACAAAATGTGATTGGTGTTGGTAACTTAGGTTTTAATTGAGGGCGCCCTACATGCTGACAGGTAGTAAGGCCTTGGTTAGCAAAAATCACATGAGGGCGGTAGTCAGTATAACCATTAATTCTGCTTTCTGATACAAACAAAACAATAATTTGACCTTTAATTAATGTTAGGTAGAGGCAAGAATCTGGAGGGACTTACTTTAAAAAAGTACTGAAATTGCATGATAAAGCATCTGAAAAGAAAAGTTCCAGTTGCTACGCCCTGAATCTTGCCAAATGGATGTTAAATTGCGGATACAATAGCTGCCAATTACAGATACAATTACAGTGAAGGTAAACAAAAACACGAAACCGCTTGGTTAACCACTACTGCGATAAATTTTTTTATGATTTTTTTTTAAAGGAGAACAAAACTTCAAAGCATTTTAAACATTATTTTAAAAACATACGCCTACGGAGTATTGTCCGAAAACTTGTAAGAAAAGAAAACTATGCTTGCACAGGTGGGATTCGAACCCCCGACCTTCTAATTTTCCATGCAAGTGTCTTTACCGTTCGACCATCGAACTTGAACATTTTAGGATGTTGAATTAAATATGTACAGTAGGTATGAATAGGAAAAAATACCATCATCACAGTACTAAACAGACTTGCGAGATATTTTTTCACAAAATTTGTTTCCCCTCACACAGCATTAAAACAATTCTTTCTAGTCGAAAGTTTCATTTTACGAAAATAATTTTATGCAAATAACCGCGCGGAGAAAAACTTTCGTGCCAAAATGAAATGACACGGGGCGTGGTCTACGAATCACTACGCTGAAGATGGGCCAGTGATGAGGCACGGTACACTGTAAACAAAATAATAACTGGCTCCCGGCGCAAAGTGCTTTTGACCGTATAGGGACGAGGTACCAGGGACCATGTGCTTTTTCGCATTGGTGTTGCCGATCGGCTGTAAAATAGCGGGAACAAAATCAAGTAAGTTTACCGCTATTTCTCCTTAAAACACATTACACCTTCAAAATTTTGTAGACTCATGGAGCTAAGAAACTGAATGACTTACTCTTATTAATGGGCTTATGTACTAATTCTGAATTTGTGCAGTTGAGAAATGTTCGAAGGTTTGATTTTTATTTTTCAGTCGAATGTGAAGTCCTCCATCAAGAAAGACATTATGTAAATTTTTAACCTAGTTTCCAGAAAAGAATGTGTTTTCCAGTGACCTTTTTGGGATAGTTTTGAATTTGAAATACATTTTTTGTTTTGTTAAAAGTTTCAAGCAACTCAAGAAAAATTATAAACATTTCTACTCTGGCCTCAACGTATGCGCAGAGACTGTTCTTCTTTATGGCTTCGTGGAAGGTTACTAGCTGTGAGAAGGTACTTTCCACAATCACTGGTTCGCGTCGTCCGATGCTTATGAAATCAGAGTCGGAGACACGGGACCAGGGATATACCAGACGAACTCGCAAACGGTTCATTTGAAGCACATGTTGTAAATTGGCGGCAAACTCGGCATTGCGCATTCTAACTTAATTGCAAAGATTATCTGGGAGGTGACGGACAGAACAGTGAAAGTAAGTTTGCAACCTTTTTGCCTAAAACGTAAATATTTGCATGAACACATTTTGTGTAAATACTGTGACAAGTAACTTACAGGCTGAAAAACACTTTGTGAAATGAAAATAAACTCTTTGGGAGGAGAAAAAAGTGGAGAAATAGGCCTAATTATATTCCCATTCTGCCAACTTTTCAAGTGCAATGTAGTGACAGTGCATTGCTAAAAAGCCTATGAATAGGAGAAATGAGTTCCATACCTGGAAATCGCTTAATATTCTGTTCACAAACCCTATGAGACTGGTCTGAAAATTCCAAGTGTTTTCTCAGTAAATGCTTCAAAGTTTTCCCTGCTAAATTTGACTTTGGAAAAATGTTGCAACCTGATGCCACAGCGGTTGTGTACAAAGTCTACGAAGAGTCGAAAAAAATTTAAAAAAAAAAATGGAAATGTTTCTCAGTCCCAGATTTATGTCTTATCACCATTTTTGCATTCACTGACATTCATTGAGATGATATATGAAGAAAAAAGTGGCGTCGGGTTACAACATTCTTTCCAACTTCACCTTTTCACGAAAGTGGGAAACCATTTTCACACCTAGTTTGGGTAACTCCAGCTTAGGCCAATAAAATAATAGTTCTGCTTCCGGTTTCCCTACCTAACCCTATTCTGAGAGCCCCTACCCTATGTTTTTTATGGGAAAAATTTGAAAAAAAAGACACCCAAAACCATTAATGTTTACCTTTTACCCTTGACTGCACGCAGACGCCTCCATATGATCGTACTAAAAAAAATTGGCAAAATAAACCATTTCCCTACCTACCTACCCTATTTTTGACTGCCATGTAATCGGGAGCAGAACTTTTTTTTGGGCCTTACATGTTCATCACAAATTTGCCATGTAGGCCTAATGCTGGAGGGAAAACTGCATTGTAAACATACCGGGTCAACAGGCGTTGGGGGGGGGGGGTATTTACCCCCCCCCAATATTTTGTAAGGACTGCCGTTTTCCATTCAAATGCCCTTTTTCACCAGCACTCACTCACCCCCCCCCCCCCCAATATTTTGTAAAGGGTGCCCTTTTCATGAACAAGTGCCCTTTTTTTTCTGAACGAGTGCCTAGCTTTTTAAAAAGAAGTCGTGCCTTTTTTGTCCCATCGCCCGTTCGAGGTGCCTTTTTTAAAATTCGCGCATGGATCGCCCTGAAAAGCGCCGTATATTGGTCATTAGTATGCACAATCATCGGCTTTGAACAGTGCCCCCATGGACAGATGGTACCAGCCCCTCCCCCCCCCCAAACAGACAACAGTTACCGAAAAATATTGATGATTTTGTTGGTGCTGCTGTCAGTGTGTGTTGAGGTGGTTACATGTACGCGGCACCATATACGAGCAAAACAAATCTGGATTTTGTGGATTCTCATTATTTTATAGGGACTTCGCCATTTTTGACCCGCTACATATATTGGGGGTGTGTTTACGAACTGGCGAAACAAGCATTTTACTTCATAACTATATTTCAAGGAAATCGCTTTCAAAGTTATGCGAGTTTTCAGATGACAAATTTTATAGTTTAACATCACAATTGTCGGTAAAATTTTGCAGGTCACCTGCACAGAAGGTGCTTTTAATAATACACCTATGGGTTAGAGTCATAATCGGAATTTTAGTGGAGAAAACAAACTCTAAACAAGTTTTTCAGTTCGTTAAACCATTTTTTATGCGCTTATGTATCATGTACGTTGTGAGAACTTTTTACGAACTGGCGCGTGTACTATTTTATCACTTCATAAAAATTTGACAGTGTGGACAAGTATGATGCAATGATGTTTTACGAACTGACACTATAGGCCTATATGCGGTAGTTCGCCCCAGTTTGTTTTTATGTGAGAAATATTGTTTGCAAACCACCATTATTGTCCATGGGCGAAAGTTATAAGAGAAAATGTTGTTCCCACATGTATTTACTATTGACCAAACAGGATGGATTGATTGGATTCCCTTGGAATTGCCAGACACCAGAGCAGACATTAATTAACACCAGTGTTGTAGTCAAGTACTTTTTTTCCGAGTACCGAGTACTGCCGAGTACTTAGGTTGCCGAGTAGGAGAACAAGTACCTCCGAGTACAAGATCGGATCTACGAGTACGAGAACTTGTACTTCCGTGTACAAGTACGAGTACTTACGGCATACGGCAAATGGTTCCTTGTGCGTAATTGGCCCAGGCCCAGTCGACTGATATACGGACCCACTCACAGCAAGCTGTTAAATGTGTTTGTCCGTTCTTGCACGGAGTAAAATCAGGAAATCTCGATATCTCAACAAGCCAATCAACAATTTCCAACTGAAAGAATCGATAAAATAATAAGGCCTTGGTAAGTGAAGCTATAACATTTTTTTCCACGAGTACTGCTATTCGAGTACGAGTACTTTAATGATTGAGTACAATTTCGAAATGTCGAGTACGAGTACTTTGCTGCCCGAGTACGAGTACCGTCATTTCGAGTACGAGTACTTTGACATTCCAATACGAGTACGAGTACTCCAAAAAAGTACTCGAGTACTAGTTATAAGGCCAACGTACGAGTTATGATTCCCATGCAAGGTGTACGTGAGAGAGATTTTTTTCACCATGTCCCTAATATAGCCTCGTCGAAGGCGGAATCCGCCCCCCCCTCAACATTTTCCGTGATAGCCTCTAAAAAAATTTTTTTCGCAACCCCAGCTTTTATGACTTTTTAGCCTCGAGCTTTGCGCATCTTTTGATACCCAAAACATAAAAATCGGACAACGGGTTGCCGCGTAGCGAAAAATTTTCCGGCGCAAACTGAATTTTCGCATACACGTCGTGTACACAGAGCAGAATTGCCATTCATACATATGAATAGTTAATTAGCCATAATTCCAAAACCCTTTGACCTATAGTCATGAAATTTCTTGCGTATGTTTAGGAAGAGTTGCTCTATGCATGTGCCAAGTTTCAAAATTTTTCGGCACTAGATGACCAAGATCTTGGGGGGGGGGGGGGTGGAATCCGCCTTCACCCGGCTGAGAGATGGTCAAAATAACCCGGCCCCTTTAGGGTTAACACAAGTGGGAAAAATCATCAATTTTCGGACAAGTGGGACATTGTTTACATTTCACTGGAGGGAAAACATTTTCTTTCTTTCTACACAAGTGGGATACTGTTTTCACACCTTTTTACACAATAGGGAAATCATTTGTTTCCAACTACTTGTGTGAAAAGGTATGCAAATGTTTTCCCACTGTGTGATACTTTTTTCTTTTTCACATTTGGTGAAATAAAAGTGAATTTCCTGGGAGGAGAAACACTGTGAAGAAAAATTCCCCTTCCCATGTTAACTTTCAATTGCAGTGTACTCTAACATGCAGAACATGTAAAGCTGGGGAATTAACTGTTAAAACCAGAATTGACTGAATTTGAATAGGAACAAATGTTCAGCCAGAGAAAGAGGGTTACAATTAATGAATTAAAAATTTTGTATAAACTGCATTGCAATCATATCATTCATACTCAGAATGCAATGTGAATGTCCAAGAAAGCTATTGATTTTCAGAAATGGGAGGGCAAATTTAACGAGCATTTCATATAGGCAATTTACAGTAGAAGAAACACAGAAAAAGACAAAATATATAGATCATTCCTGTCAAATCACCCCCCCCCCCCCAGAAAAAAAGTTTAAACCCCATCCCCTTGAAATTGGTTCATATTTAGTGTACATGGCGAGTTAGGCTGAACAAAGTCTAAAAAAAAATAATTTTAAGGCCATCGGGCAAATTGATTCTGCGATACTTTTGTTTGCAATTTTGGTAAAATTGGGCATGGCCAAGTAATTTAAAGTAATTTGAACTTTACTCTGACCTTGAATTTTTCTTGTGGACCACATGAGCTTGTGATGACCTTGGTTGAAAATTATCCCACAACATATTTGCTACAAAATATCCAACAATTGGGAATATATTTTTTGTTTGGTTTCTAGCTCATCTGAAGTTGGCATGTATGCAGTGAACTAGCGGATTTAAAGCAGGGATTTTGTTTTACCCTGAAATGTGTATATGTATAGGGAGTATATCATTTTGCAACACTTTTGCCAACTTTGAAATAAGCTAGATACCAAACAAAAAAATATATTACAAAAAACTAAATTACCCCCATTTTTTGGGATATTTTGTAGAAGTCATGTTGGGATGCAATTCAACACTGTTTTCACGAAGAGCCACATGTCGATTTTGAAGAAAAAGCGTTTTCGAGATAAGGCCAAAAAAAACCAAGTCGGTCTCTGGTCAGCGCGCGCGTTGATTTTAATCATGCGTGTCAACCTTTTTTTTTTTCCTTCAAATTGTCCGTGGTAGCTACAGCAGCGCCCTCTATTGCCGCACTTCCTCAAATTTTTGCACCAAGGAGTGCTAAGGAATGGTGAAATGGCTCCAAGGCAAATGATGGAGGGCACCTAGGCAAAATATGGAGGACCCCAATGTATATGAGGACACAACAAAAGCAAAATAGTAAAAAAAAAAAAAAAAAAAAAAAAAATGCATCGCCGCATCAATTCCGGAACTTTGGTCTGACCAGAGACCGAATATTTTTTGTTTTGGCCTAATCGCAAAAGAAGTTTCTCATATTTTAAAACTGCAAAAAATACCACTTTGCAATAACTTTGTGCAGCAAGGAAACCATCAAACGATTCTAAAAGAGCTGAATTTTTACATGAACCCAGTAATTAGACTTAATTGGTGAAAATTAATTAGTAAAGATATGTGGCTGTTCGTAAAAATGCAAATTCAGGTTTCCGACATATTGGCCCTTTCTGGTCAACGTGTATTTCCATAAGCGCGTGAGTACACGCGCGCAGCTGAAAATGTAACAAAGATATGTGACTCTTCGTGAAAACGCATATCTCATTTGACCTACTTTTACGTATATCCGTGCCATGGGTGTTGTACGCGTCCAAAGGGCCAAAATGTATGAGGCTCTTCGTGTAAATGCAAAATGCATATATCGAGATTTCTGCCCCTTGCAACATTAATGTAACTTAGAAATTAATGATGTTTTGCTTACAGAAGTAGGTCAAAATGGTTAAGTACAATGTTTTAATGCAAAATATTGAAAACAATCAAAATCGAAAAAATTGAAATTTTCGACATATGTGGCTCTTCGTGAAAACGGTGACAAATTGTCATCTAAGTTTTTCTCAAGATCATAAGATCCACAAGGTCAAATTGAAGGTCAAATTGCAGGTCAACTTGAAGGTCAATATGTCATAATACTTGAAAATACTTCAACTTGAAAGGTATTGGTAAATTTGGATTTCTTGTGTCTTGTGATTTTGCCATTCCAAAGAAACCAAGATTAACCAATTAAACCAACAGGTATAAAGATAAGGTCGTATGATAATTGATGACCACGCCTATTTTGGCCAAAATCACCAAACACTGGTTGGTGGTAGCGCAAAACACGTTTGTCTGATGGCACCATAGAGCAAGGACCCAAGGAGTCTGCAGAACTCTTGGGCGATTTACATTTTGACCATTAACATACCAATCCCTCGGGAATGTCTATAGCTACAGCACTGTGACCGCAAGCCTGGACCATTCAAAGCGTGAATGCCAGCGGCCTTTGAACACGATGATCGTCGCCGCCTTTTTAGTTGGTAACCAACAACCTCCCTATATGCTGCATAATAAGTCATGTCACGTCGCTGCTCTTTTTTGAAAAATATATTTTACGACAAGATAGGTTTTTACAACTGCGCAGTTGTTAGATGTGAGTTATGAACTCAAGTTAGCAATGTGCAGTTGTTGGTGCTTAAAAGCGTTATTTGTCCCTGTAACTTGGAGATAAATTGGATTTCTTTCAGATAAGTTTTCATGTATTTTCAGACATTTTAATTGGCAATATATCATTGATGCAATGTGTTTTTTGGGAAAATGTCACAAGTTTTCACACTAAAGGTACAGAGCATTTTGTTCTGCATGAAATGATTGTTCCAGTGATGTTGACCACATTTATATACAGTATCATCCAACTGCGAACAAACACTTCAAAATCATTCATTTTTAGCGATGTATGACAACTGCGCATGCGTATTTACTATGGTACTGTCTACGAAGCCATGCAAACTCCTTTTTCTGGCATTAGTGAGGGCGGATCTCTATTGTGTCGAGATTAGTGTAGTGAGCAACTGAGCAAGCTGGCGCCAGGTGCTTTCTATTGTAGCTTTCGAGCGTGGCGACCATCATTTTACTTTTGAAGTCTTGGAGTACGAACTCCTTGGGTCCTTGCTCTATGATGGCACTTAAACTTAAGATTTAAGCGTTTTCAGACAAAATCAACCCCCATACTCAATATGAGCAAATTTGAATTAAAGAGCTGGGGTATACGCATTTGGGTAATTTGAGATGAAATTACCCATTTGACACCTTAGAAAACTGAGAAATGTAATTAAGGCTGACAAAATTAAATTTCAGTTTTAGTGCCACCGACTAAAAGGTTTTTCACTACTGCCCACCATTGTTCTGCAATTTTTGTCAAAATGGGTGTGGCCACCAATTTTCAAATGAATACGATATCTCCATAACCTGTCAGCCAAATATCTTGGTTGCTTTGAAAAGCTTACATCGTAAGGAATCCAAATTTTCTATAACATTTTATGTTGGAGCAATTTGAAGAGTGATGACCTTTGACCTTTACTTTGAATTTTATATTTGACCTTGTGGATCATGTGAGCTTGAGACAAACTTTGATGAATACCCCAACATGTTTTCTGCAAAATATCTTAAATTGTGGTATAATATCGTAATGAAATGGCCCTTCGCCATTACCTTCCTCCCCGCCTTCTATTTTTGGTTTAGCCTGCCCCTCTCATCCACCACATCCCTGAGCTGAGTGTGTATCAGTCCAGCCAGGCATGCAGCATGTTATTTGCATAAATCTATTGTTAGCCCCATGCGTATGGAATTTGAAATAGCCATTTGTGCTTCAGTCTGCTGGGTGCTGTGCTAGGGATAGGTTGTCTGTGGAGGGCTGTGCAGGTTTTGCCTGGGTGTGGCAAGGAAAGGCCTTGATGTAATGACCAAGTAAGTTGTAGTGCATGACAACTTATTCGATTCCCCCTGGGTTGGGAGTAGAGTACCACAAGATATACCCTACTCACTTTGACCATCACTGAGCCCCGCCCTTTGTAATTTCTTATAATTAATTGTTTTTCTTGAATGTATTTCTCCCACAAATAGGCTAAAATTTTATATTCCCAAACTTACTTTATACAACACTTTTAATTCTGTCCCACATCAATTATGGACTCCTAGCGTGGGGAAATCCAGCACAGAGTTTACTAAATCGTCTTCTACATTTGCAGAGAAAAGATTTACAAGTTGCCTAGCTCACACTGATTCGCTTTTTCTCAAACATAATTAAGACACTTAAATTTAGCGACATTTATTGCTTCCAGCTTGGGGTTTTCACGTGCCAAATTACAAAAAAAAATTATTTGCCAACCTACCTTATCCAGATATTGATGTTCATGCATATTTCACCTATCCATCATCTCAGTTTCACTTACCAATTGTTTTATGTTTTTCTTAGATATGTATACAAAAAACAAAGTGAGCAAATGAGGCGGCAGAAACAAAACGACTATTCTAGGAGGAGGAGGGAAGTAAACTTCATCCTGGTAATTCATAACGATACAAATTGCAGTAATGGGAAAACAAATCTAAAAATATTCAAGAATCCTTAATCCTAGCAGAACTCAACCCATCCAACCCCAACGGCATGTTTTATTGAAATCTGTCGGGGATGGGTACAGTACCCCTAAATTGACAGTCTGTTACATTGGGTTGGCACACCTCCAGCCCTTTTCACATTAGAGCCTCTCAATCGGGTTGCACTCAACCCTGGGTGAACCCAGTGCCACCCCAGGTTGAGTTTTTGATTTTTCAACCCCTCGTTCAACCCCGCATCGTTTGACACTTGTTTCGTGCAAATCATTAGCTAATCATGCTCAGTTTCTACTTTTTTGAACCCTGGCAAGAATTTCAACCCTGTTCTGGAGCGAAATGAATCTCGGTGTGAAACAATGCATGTTCTCCATTGGTGGATCTAGGGGGGTGCCATGGGGGCGTGCGCCCCCTGGCAGTAACCAAAATTTTGTAAAATAAGGTAATTTTTCACTCCAATGAGCCGTTGCGCCCCCCGGCACGAACCTCTCTGTGATCCGCCACTGTTTTCAAACCTGCGTGAACCCTGCGTCAACCTGAGATTTGTTTAGTGTGAAAAGGGCAAAACAAGTCAGAAATAAATGTGTGCAGTTTCTCATATGGTGTTGGAATTTGCCAGAATGGGTATGGTTCCCATTAAATCATAGGGAGTTGGGGTTAAAGTATCATATGGAATAAAACATTTTTTCGGCCATTTTCTTACAGGCAAAGAGAGAAGAGAAGAGGGCAGAGGTAAGCATTTTACAATCTGGTCTTCAGGTTATATCTTTCCTTGAAGAAAATCCTCCAAACCACAGATTAGCAAAAGAAACAAGTTTGCCGAGTGATTTTGGAATTTCCATTGAAGCGCTGTCTGACAAACATTTGGGCTAGTCTGATATTTAACCACATCTGACGTAATGTCCATGATTTCAACAATTTCTTGCAAGACTATGTGCAGTCTACTGCACTCTGCGCTGACAATATTCAACTGACTGCAGTTTTCAAATTTCCCACACTGACGGTTAATCTGTGGAATGGAAGGTCATCACTGTGTCATGTGACTTGAAGTCCATGATATGATAGGCTTATATATTGGAAAGCTATTTGAAGGTTATGCTGAGCCACGGAATGCTGTACTGCTGTAAAATTATTTTACAACTGACTGCTAAATTGGAATGCTATACTCAATTTTTAGACACCCAATGCTCCCCTAAACGCTGAACTCTGATGTAGCGATTTTGCTATCGATTTTGATCGAGATTATCCTCTCATCCAGGACACACATTTCCAAAGTTAAAGTTCCTAATCAAAAAGGAATTCATACCTTTTCGAAAAAATGTTTTTTTATCCCAAAATCTTAACCATCTGGCCAAAAGATGACCTTCAGTCATCATCTTCCACGAATATCGTCCCGAAAATGTTCTTCCATGCAATTTCAAAATGGCGGCCGCATTGTAATGTATGCGTTATGCGGGCGCACTATGCATTGTTCAGTTGATGACCTCTTGTTTGTATGGCCAGCCGTGCCGTGCGACCAACAAACGTCATGAACTGCAATGCAGATTCATAATCTTGCCCAAGCGCCCTCGCATAATGCATAAATTACAACGCGACCGCCATTTGTTATCGCATTGAGGAACAATTTGGGCCGATATTTATGGGAGATGATGACTGAAAGTTGTATTTTGGGCAATATGGATGAAGATTTTGGGATAAAAGAACATTTTTTTTGGAAAAGGTATGAGTTCCTCTACAACTAGGAACCTTAACTTTGGAAATGTCTGTCCTGGATGAGAAGATAATCTCGATCAAAATCAGTAGCGAAATTGCTACATCAGAGTTCAGCGTTTAGGGGAGCATTGGCTGTCTGGCCGTACTACAGAGCTTGAGGCCAGATGCAGTCGGGCTAATATGTACCTGTACTCGATGTTGGTATTAAAGCTGGTACATACACTGTTAATATACGAGCAGTTGAAAATGACCGCGCGGGTTGATTACTAATTTGGATTTTGAAAAGCTGGCAGCTATACGTACGGGAATGCCAGTGGGCCGTGTTGTTGCAAAGGTACTGTATACGGACTCCAGCTGCCTTCTACTGTCACTGAACTTATGTTTTTTTTATTGAATGGAAAATCAATATTTTAAGATCAAAAACTGGGGTGGGTGGGTCAGTCAAAACAATTTGGAAAAAAAAAAAAAATCGAAATTAAAAACATTGAAAATTTTGGATGAAACGAAAAGTAAAAGGGGGTGCCAGCTGATCGCCATTAAACTTAAGGGGACACTGATCAAACCACGTACATGTATGAATGATCAAACCACTACATGTATGTATGATCAAACCACGAACATGATCAAACCACGTACATGTATGTAAGATCAAACCACGTACATGTACAGTATGTATGATCAAACCACGTACATGTACATGTACGTATGTATATCATTCACGACCATTTTAAGTTGACGTGAACAAAAACCGGTACCCGGCGTAAAGTTATTGCATATATTTTTTGCAAAATTTTGCTTTTATTTTTGGGACTCGAGTATTATTAGCCTTCCTCGAGTCGAGTCGAGTCATTCTGATGAGGGACTCGAGTTGAATTGAGTCATTTGTTTGCAGTGACTCGAGTTGAGTCAAGTCATTTGCCCTTAGGGGACTCGAGGCGAGTCACCAAAAATGGTGACTCGAGCCGGACTCGAGTCGAGTCATTCACTTGAGTCATTACAACTCTGCCATCATGTTACATGCATGTATTTAATCAGAGAAGTTTTGCGATGTTTTTATTTCATCATAAACATATTTGTCAGGTTTGCCAAATTACAAAATCTCGGATGGTCAGTTGTTCTTCACACTGTGTTCCCAGTGTATGCTATTCGTCAGTTTGTCGGAACTCAACTTTTCACGCGGGCTCTGTGTACAGCGAACATGCGAAACTGAGTTGTCATGACTGAAGATTGAATTGTGATTTGAATTTTGACTGACATGTGATTTGACTTTTGACTGACATGTGATTGGGTTGTGATTCAACTTTTGACTGTGATTGTATTGTTTGTAAATAACGTAAAATAACCCTTTTTCAAACAGAGGAGGAGACAAAGATCGGAGGTGGAAGAGATGTGTAAATTAAGGTAAGATTAAAGCATCAAAATATGAAAATATATTGCTACGAAACAAGTGTCATGTGCTCTGCGATCTTGTCAAAAAGAACCTTAGTTTTACTGTAAAGTGTCTATCAGCAGAAATTGTGCTATGATTTTTGTTTTGTAATATTTTATTTTTGTTGCCATGTTGACCTTAAATGAATCATTTTTATTCAGGCCTCCCTACCAATGGCATAACTGCATTGGCGAAAATTCCCCCCCCCCCTTTCCATTTTTACTATATATTTTACTATACTATTTCATTATAAGGAATAATTTAATATAATATGCCTAATTTGCGTAAATCTTTAATAACTGCCGTGTAATATATTTGTTCCCATATTTGGGTATATTGTTCATTAATATATTTTTTGAAAAGTTTATTTTTGTGATTATACTTACACTTCCTTACTTCAAATATTTTCTAAAGCATATAAGTGACTGAATAATTATGAGGACATAAAAACAATCCAAAATGCCTACTATTATACCCTAAGGTTGCTCACATATACTTTGCATCAGATGTCATCAAGTAGTCTCGCCAAACGTCAGTTTTGATGAGCTCCAAATTTACAAAGTCACTTTCTGGCACAGTTACCCTAACAAAGTTAATTGGGATATTATGTGGCAAATGATAAAATCTTGATATTTAGGCCAATAATGAAAACAGGGGAGGTGTCCGTAAATTGGGCTAAAATTAGGGTTGCCTAACGTGGGGGACTTAAACAACTTCAAGGAAATCCCCCCAAATCAAATATTATTGTTACATGTACATTAATTATGTCAATGTTGAAATGTTTTCTTATCAATAATTTTGGGAATTTTCCTGAACGTGCTCAAGCCTCCCATGTTATGCAACCCTTCAACCACCTTTTTGCCCAATTAATGGACACCTCATTTCCCCCCTTTTATATCACACTGTTATCTTTGTTCACATGATTTTCCATAAGGTTTTTATGGGTTAACCATTTTAGATTATTACTATAGCCGTGTCTGCACTGGACTTTTTTTGGAAGGTTTTACCGAGACGATGGTAAAATGAGAAATGGTCAAATGTGACCACTGTCCACACTTGGACTTTTGCACAGGAAATTTTACCCAGACCGTGTTGGAGAACATGGAGAAATAACTGAGCTGTCAGTTCTGGTATAATGACTCACCGTATGTGGAAAACGAGATGCTGGTCAAATTTTCAGCCGCCGATACGCACAGTAATTACAAACGCCATTTGCAATCGTTCTTGGTGATGAACATAAAGAATTACTGAATAACATACACTTACAATGTAGTCTTTTTGTAGTCTTTATGTAGTTTGTTTGCTTTTATCCAGTCTGATATCAGAACAAGGTCAGTATTAACAATGTAAATCAAATTATTAATATTTTTGTTACTATAGAATAAATTTGAATTGATCGGCGAATAAGATACATGACAAACGTTATGAGACATTAACTAGGTCATTTATATAAACAAGAAATAGTAGTGGTTTAAGAATAGATCCTTGAGGAACCCCACATGTCAAGGAACATATATTAGGAGTGTCGTAAACTAATACATATTGCTCTCTGTTAGAGAGATAAGTTTGAAACCAAGCAAGAAGGACTCATGATGCCATAGTAATTAAGCTTGTATAACAATACATTATGATCTAAGGTGTCAAACGCTTTTGAAAAATCAAGAAAAATACCAAGGGTGTGTTCTGAATTGTCTAAACCTGCTACAACCTTATTAATGAGATGAAGAACAGCAAGATTAGTTGAATGTTTTGCACGAAACCCAAACTGGAAGTTTGATATATCGTATTTACGTAAGAAATCAAGAGTACGTACATACATTGTAAACAATTCTTTCAAAAATTTTCGAAAAACTATTTCGAATCTATCAGTCAGAAGCTGTTTTACCTGGTAGTATGGAACAATGGGATCCTTTGACTGGTTCTCAGGTATGCCCCTTAATTGCAAGTTGAAGTTGCGGGAATAACGCTCCTGCTGAAGAATAGCTTCTTTGAGGGTGGTGATGTTCTTTTGTGCCGTCTCCAGCTGAACAGACATTCTGGACATTCCTTCCGTCAGCACCGTGTTTTGGGACTGAAGTTCCTCAATTAAAAGCCCAATGACTCCTCCATATCTCTCTGCTTTCTTTCGACATCTGCCACTCTCCCAGGTAGGGATTCTTGATTCAGGAGGGCTTTGTCGAGCTTGGCATTTATGTCGGCAGCTAGATTGCGAATTTCCCGCCTCAGATTGCCGATGGCGTCGCCTTCTTCTGTGATAGTGCCAGGCTATCGGTCAGTGGCGTCATCTGGCGGGTTGACCGAGTCGTCTGATCCAGTCGAGAATGACTGAGTTTTTTCCTTTCTCTGCATAATCACAGGTACACTGTAGATAATTACTATCAAGAGACTCGATATAAAGCCAGTGGCACAAGAATACTGAAATCTTAGATTTTCATGAGATTTATGGAGAATTTACCAGTCAATTGTGACGGTCCCTGGAGCATCGATTTGACACGTCCGTCTACATGACTAGCGCCCTCTAGAATAGCATCCTATCAATATTGTGCATATCTTCCCGAGAATCTTTTGTTGTTGTGTAATAGTCACTATCAGCATTGCAGTAGCCTTACCTTCCTCCTCCCCGGCCCCCAGGCCTCCCAGCTGGCGGCCCTTTGCTTCTCTTGCTGAAAAAAGCAAATTCATGTGATTTACGCGTCAAGTACAAATGTCAAATCTCCTACCAGTAGTGTGGATTTCTTCCAGAGAACCTTTTTGTGTTAGTATAATAGTTATTATCAGCATTGCAGTAGCTTTAATACCTTCCTCCTCCCTGGCCCCCAGGCCTTCCAGCCGGCGGCCCTTTGCTTTTCCTGCTGAAAAACTGCTGAAAAAGGCAACTTCACATGATCTACGTGTATAGTAGAAATGTCAAATGTCCTACCAGTATTGTGCATTTCTTCCAGAGAACCTTTTTGTGTTAGTACATGTATAATAGTCATCAGCATTGCAGTAGCCTTGCTTTCCTTCTCCCTGGCCCCCAGGCCTCCCAGCTGGTGGCCCTTTGCTTCTCCTGCTGAAAAACATGCTGGAGGGTTAAAAGTTAAAACTTTAAAAAGATTAATTACACTTTACACAGTACAAACTTTTCCTGTTTAAATACACAGTTTTATTTACGACAGGCAACTGTTTCTAAACTATTGTTAAACTGACTTGTTTCACGTTTTTGGCTTGTAGATGCTGGAAAAACCAAGAAAACCAATTATATTCTTGTAGTCTGGTTCCCTGACCCCACTTAAGATGAAATGGAGCAATTTATTGACTTTGGGGAATTGTGCAGTCAGAGTATCAATTAAGCTGGCTTGTACCCATTGACAGGTGAGTAATCAATTGCAAAGAAGATGTGGAATAACTAAATATAAGAAATATGGAGTAGTTTTTGAAAATAGCCAGTTTTCTCCAGTGCTGGTCGGCCGACCAGCATTGGAAAAATACAATTTTTCTTGAAAATGTCAGCACACCAGGAGCCACAATTTTACAGGATGCTTTAGACTGTCATTCCCTAACAATCCAGTAAGGTATTTTGTGATAAGTGGATCATTTCGTTTTTTGATGTTTGCAAATGTTGTATCTTTCCTTTAAAAATTACATATCATGGGCCCTTTAATATCCATAAGGAAAAATGATTTTATTCAATTTACCTACATGTATTAAGTTCTCATTGTGGTTTTTTTTCCAGCAATCTTAAGTTAAAAATTTGGGATCACTCAGTGTAACTGCTCCCGCATTATTTCTTAAAAAAAAAAAAACACACAGAAATTACTGTTCTACTTCCAGCATCACAAAGACAGCAGCCAGTGACTTTAACTGGATTTCATAGCACACGTATGTATGGGTACAAAATAGTTATTTACACCTTCATGTACATGTACTTGTATCTATTTATCTATTATTACCCACTCTTGTGGTAAAGTGCTTTAAAACAACTTTCTTGAATCTTTTAACAAAATTAAACACTGGCCGGAACTACTTTTCACTCAACAAAAGTTGGGAATCAAGTTTAAACCCCTTGTTAAGAGATAGTGGTTAGGCAACAACAACAACAACAAAAATCTGCTTCCGCTTACATGCCTTTCAAAAATAAGGTCGGTAGGTTGAATGTTCTTTTATGGAGTTTTCAATTATCTGTATTTAGGGTCTGAAAAATTGTGCCCTATATCAAATAATTTAACCCTCCTATGGACACATGCATTGTCAGCCTTGTTTAGTTAGGTCAATATTGGTCAAAACCACCATTGGTTTGTACACAGTAAGCCAGGAGGTGAGGAAGACAATTTTGACCGATTGTGACCTCTTAAATAGTAGGAGGGTTCAGGTAAAAATATATTTCAGGTCGATGATTCTTAAAAAAAAAAAAAACACAGAGAATTTAAGTCGCACACACCGCTATATACACAACGTCTGTATCACGCAGTATCACAGCGTTCGTGACTGCACTTTGTAGTGGTCAACGAACCACATTCTCCCAGCTGTAGAAAATTTTGCAGAAACACGCTGCACTGTAGTGCTTCTTGTCCGAGCAGCGGAACCTTGAAATAAATACAAGCATTTTCGACGCAAAAAGGTTGTTGAGAAGCCTTTTTGTGAAAATTTGTTTCATTTGCCAATAAAATTTAGGATCACAGCATAATATTGACCTGGCCTGGTGCTCAGGCAAAGATTGTACAGGTTTGTGTAAACCTAGGTGGCAAGCCAACTTTGGTCCAATGTTGGCCCAACGATGTCAAATGTGGATCACAACATTGGACCAACATTATTTTGCATGTTGGGACAACATTGCTCCAATGTTGATACCAACACACCCTCAATGCCTCACCCGTACACCCCACCTTCACTCCAACCCCGCCCCCACCCTTGTTCTCCCTCTTCCTTACCTGTCCTTGTCATTGTCTCGGTGCTTCCTTTCATCACTTGTATTTATTGCATGATCGCTGATTGTACTGCTGGGATTTGGTGGAATAGAAATGTATTATTGTAAATTAATGAACAGTGGAGTTTACAGTGCTGTGAAGGTTAGCATTCATTGTCCATGTTTATAGTGTAAAATTCGGAATTGTAAATACTTCCGATTGTCTTGAATCGTGCAATTAAGATGACATTGTCTTAGTGACCTCTGATAAGCTGTTGGCCTCTATTCATGCCCACAGATGGAGGTTTTTCCAATGTTCATTTTGCCGGGGAAAATTGGAATCAATTCCAAATGAAATTGCAATTCCTGGATGGAATCAGAATCCATTCCAAAAATATTGGAGTCGCTCAAGAGTATGACAGATTTTTTTTCTTGTCACTAGGAATTGGAAACAGTGTTAGATCTAAAATCACTAAAATCTGTATGCACCTGTATTGGAGAAAGATCTATTAAATGGGATAACCAGCACACATTTTTCTTTTCTTGTGATAACAAATGCATCCTTTATTGTTTTGTTTTTCAGTCTACTATTGTACTAATTTCCATGTTTGTTCTGCTATCAGTCTGTGTCCCACTCAAAAGCAAAAACAATTTCACTTTTCTTTTCAAGTTCGAGGAAATATTAGTTATTGTAAATACTTCCGATTGTCTTGAATCGTGCGATTAAGATGACATTGTCTTAGTGACCTCTGATTAGCTGTTGGCCTCTATTCATGCCCACAGATGGAGGTTTTTCCAATGTTCATTTTGCTGGGGGAAATTGGAATCAATTCCAAATGAAATTGCAATTCCTGGATGGAATCAGAATCCATTCCAAAAATCACCGTGTTTTGGGACTGAAGTTCCTCAATTAAAAGCCCAATGACTCCTCCATATCTCTCTGCTTTCTTTCGACATCTGCCACTCTCCCAGGTAGGGATTCTTGATTCAGGAGGGCTTTGTCGAGCTTGGCATTTATGTCGGCAGCTAGATTGCAAATTTCCCGCCTCAGATTGCCGATGGCGTCGCCTTCTTCTGTGATAGTGCCAGGCGATCGGTCAGTGGCGTCATCTGGCGGGTTGACCGAGTCGTCTGATCCAGTCGAGAATGACTGATTTTTTTTCCTTTCTCTGCATAACCACAGTTAGATAATTACTATCAAGAGACTCGATATATAGCCAGTGGCACAAGAATACTGAAATCTTAGATTTTCATGAGATTTATGGAGAATTTACCAGTCAATTGTGACGGTCCCTGGAGCATCGATTTGACACGTCCGTCTACATGACTAGCGCCCTCTAGAATAGCATCCTATCAATATTGTGCATATCTTCCCGAGAATCTTTTGTTGTTGTGTAATAGTCACTAACTTCTACACCAGCTGAGGTCCGCTTCGACTTGTGGCTCTTGTCGGAAGAGGGAGCTCTTTTTTCTTGCCTGCAAAGCAAGAAAACAAAATGTTCATGATTCCTTCCATATCCAGGACATCCAATTCTTGTGTCGCGGCCACCAACCTCATACCACCCCTCTTATCTACCTAGTCCCGAATGATTTCGTTTGCCACTGCTCTCCAACTTCTCCAGTTATTTGCTGCCGCAGGCCTGGTGCTCAGGCAAAGATTGTACAGGTTTGTGTAAACCTAGGTGGCAAGCCAACTTTGGTCCAATGTTGGCCCAACGATGTCAAATGTGGATCACAACATTGGACCAACATTATTTTGCATGTTGGGACAACATTGCTCCAATGTTGATACCAACACACCCTCAATGCCTCACCCGTACACCCTACCTTCACTCCAAGCCCGCCCCCACCCTTGTTCTCCCTCTTCCCTACTTGTCCTTGTCATTGTGCTTCCCTTCAGTGCTCTTGGGTGTCTTATCAGCCTTGCTTTCCTTCTCCCTGGCCCCCAGGCCTCCCAGCTGGTGGCCCTTTGCTTCTCCTGCTGAAAAAAGATCTTGTTGAGGGTGGTGAGCACCTATGCCAAGAGGACCTGTTGCCACCTCATAAGAGGCTGGGACCTTTACATCAGCTTCCAATAGAACACGTTGCACCATTGTGGGACGATTACCCAGGGGAGAAGATGATAACGCCTTTATATTGGTAGTCGGGCACCATTTCAGCAAATGGATGGAGGCATATGCCATTCCAGACACACAAAAAAGGCCGACACAACGGCAAAGAAAATGGTGAGTTCCTTGATAATATTTCCGTTTAAGACCAATGGAGCAATTCTCCTCTTCAATGTACTCAGGGTGTCATAGGTCGGAATTCGGCTCTCAAACTTACTGATCATAGGTAGGTGTCGGCATGTATTCAAGGGTAAAAGGTAAACACTGATGATTTGGGTTTTTTTTGCAAGCATCCTACCAATATTGTGCATATCTTCCCGAGAATCTTCTGTTGTTGTATACAGTCGTCTCCCGTTATAGCCAAATCCACGGGACCGGTCAAAATGTTCGTTGTATCTGAATTTCGTAATATCCGATACAATGTTTCCCGTCCATTGTTCACCTTGAATTGGCCCTATTGTGCACGCTTGTGAACGTACGTAATGTACACAATGACTTTTTCTGTTTAAAACAATTAAGAACGTGCTCTCTATGATGTCATTTGTCAAATAAAAAATGTTTGAAATGTTTCATTGTGTAAAGTGAAAAGAAAATTGTTCAATGTACGAAATGAAAATAAAATAAACATTACGAAGATCTGATGTTTTATTGCTTGATCATCGATTAGAAAGAAGTCAACGTTGGATGACCTGGATCACTTATATAATAAAACCGCATGTGGGTACCATCTTTAGTTAAAAAAATATGGTCGGAACACCAAGAAATGTGATGAAGTGATGTGATGAAGTGGTCCTATTTTGGCCTGAATATCCAAATGACTCGTGTGGCCTGATCGCATCACGTAATCAAAATGTTGGCTATATTTCGAGTTGTTTTCAAACTCCAAAATGTCAAGTGGTTTATCCCCTTACAAATTTTGGCAAAAATAGGCTGCTCA